ATATGTTGTATAAATTGTATGCGTAACGCATGTATGCGAATAGATACGTTATTATTTATAATTGTTTATTCGGGAATATGCATCTGAGTAAGCCTGGCATTGCCATAAGAATCTGCAAGAGAGTACTAGTGAAATGTGGCGCGCGGTCACCGCAGATATTTCTTCTTCAGGCTTCGTTTTGTAAATAGAATACAATTAAAACAGTACAGTGGATGGCATCAATTTGTGCTTATTAGCTAATATATTGAGGTTTGGTAAATTTTTAGAGGACCTCAGGCCTTCACAGCAGCTGTTACGGTGCTTTTCTAATTGTGTTTACCTAGTTTGACTTTGAAAGATACTGTTTCTCATTGAAGTCTATAACAGCACTTCAGATAATTTTGTTTTCTTGTCTTGCATATGCAAATTATCATGCAATTCCTCTGTTCATTTCATCGTGTCATATTTATGTTGTAGAGAATTGTGACTCCAATCTGTCTCACGAATTTTCATTTCATATTTCAGATGTTTAATTTTCTTCGTGTTTCATGTTTCATATTTCTGTAAGGGGGAAATCTGATCTTGTGAGGTTGGGGAGATTTACTCTACAGAATTGTTTCTTAAGGTTCGCATTAAACCATTTGGGGACTGTATATTTTAGTACAAGAGCTAGCACCATATAATATCTAGATTATCTAATCTGGATGTGAGCACCAAACTATAAATGTAATTTTCAGTTTATGCTTGAACACCATGCTGCAGCTGTATTCTCCAATTTAGATGTATCATATGTTGTAATTTGCTTTTGCACTTATTGGCTTCAGAACTCTGCAATACCAGTAGTCGTCTCTCTCAGTACAGCACAGGTCTCTATCATCACGACATGCGACCCATTAAAACACAGGAGTCTCGCTACAATTCAGGACTCTTAATAATGAACTGGGCTCTCTCACTACAGTAACAGTTCTCATAATAGTAAAGGTTTCTCACACTTTAGAACAGATCTCTTATGCTACAGCCATGGCATTCGCAATAAAATACAGACTTTCACTACAGCGCATGTCTTCAAATGTAGCACTGGACGTTTACTATAGCACAGAATCCTCTGCTATCACTAACGTACGCTCACTATAATATTGGACTCACATTACAACACAGACCTCTCACTACAGAGTCAGACTCGATACAGAATATGACTCTCTCACTAGAGCACCAGACTCTTTCAGTAATATAATTACTGAAGTAATATAAATACTAAAAGTAATTTAATTACTGAAAGTAATTTAATTACTGAAAATATTTTCATTACTGAAAGTAATTTACATACTCTCATCTTAACGGACAACAGGTCTTTATTACTACAGCACAGGACTCTAAATACAGTATAGGAATCTCACAACAACACTGGATTCTCTCACTTAAGCACATGACTCTCACTACAACACTAGACTCTATCATTACAAGATAGGATTCTCATTACAGTTTGTGACTCCGAACACGGAACGGGATTCTCACTCCAGCACAGGACACTTTTGCTGCCATACAGGACTTTAACTACAGTTTGGGATACTACATAGCATGATTCACTTCAACACCGTACTTTCACTATAACGCACGACCCTTAAACTACAGCAGAAGACTCTCAGTATATCATTAGATTCTCATTACAGCACAAAACTTTCACAACATCTAATGACTCTTTTGTTGCAACAAAGGACTCTTTGAGTCCTTTGGATTTAGTCAAGGATTTACAATCCTTGACTCCCACTGCATCACAGGTGTCTCGCTGAATCACAGGATTTTCTCTACAGTAAAGAACTCTTGCTACATAACCGGACACAAATGCAGCTCAGGTTTATTGCTAAAATAATAGAAATACTATTCCAAAGGACTCTAACTGCAGCACAGGACTCTCTCATTATGACACAGAACTCTCACAACAACTCAGGAGTCTTATTAAAACCCAAAACACTCTCCTTCCAACGAAGGACTCATAGTGCTACATAGGACTCACATTGTTACACAGGACTCACTACACCGCATGAAACTCTCACTATTTTTCACTCACTCACATAAGGAGTCTTGCTAAACTAGAGGACACCCTTACTGGAGCCCATGAGTCTCACTACCACTGAAATAAAATTCTCTAACTTCAGCATAGAACCCTTATTAAAACCCAGTAATCACTCTCTAGAACACGGTAAGGGTCATATGTATTACAGTAAGGAATTCTCTCTCACTACAGTACAGGACTCTCACATTAAAACATGGGACATTCACTACTGCACAGTCCTCTAACTACAACAATAAAATCTCGAGTTACAGCATAGACTGTCTCAATGCAACAGGTCGAGATAAATGAGCAGCAATGATTGAGGTTGGTGAGAGGTTGTGTGGAGAGGTAAGGCAGGGAGGAAGACTACAGTGAAGTCGAGTGAGTAGGTTGAATATAGTGAAGCAGAGCTGAGCTAGGCGTCGATAATGGTGAAGCAGACCACGGAGGTCGACTGTTGTGAGGCAGGCCAGGGAGGTCGACTATTGTGAGACAGGCCAGGGAAGTCGACCATTGTGAGACAGGCCAGTGAGGGCAACTATTGTGAGGCAGGCCAGGGAGGTCGAGTATTGTGAGGCAGGCCAGGGAGGTCGAGTATTGTGAGGCAGGCCAGGGAGGTCGAGTATTGTGAGGCAGGCCAGGGAGGTCGATTATTGTGGGGAAGGCCAGAGAGGTCGAGTATTGTGAGGCAGGCCAGAGAGGTGGAGCGTGAATCGACAGACAGAGTGGCCTTGAACACAGTTTATATTAAAGTAAATGTATTGTTTGGGTGTGAATATGAATGCAGCCAGCCAGGCAGCCAGCCAGCCATCCAGCCAGCCAGCCAGGCAGCCAGCCAGCCAGGCAGCCAGCCAGCCATCCATCCATCCATCCATCCATCCATCCATCCATCCAGCCAGCCAGCCAGCCAGCCAGCCAGCCAGCCAGCCAGCCAGCCAGCCAGCCAGCCAGCCAGCCAGCCATCCAACCTTCCAGCCAGCCAGCCAGCCAGCCATCCAGCCAGCCAGCCAGGCAGGAATTCAGCCAGCCAGCCAGGCAGGAATTCAGCCAGCCAGCCAGCCAGTCACCCAGCCAGTCACCCAGCCAGTCAGCCAGTCAGCCAGCTAGCCAGCCAGCTAGCCAGGCAGGCAGGCAGGAATTCAGCCAGCCACTCAGCCAGGCAGCCAGCCAGGCAGCCACCCAGCTAGCCACCCAGCCAGCCAAACAGCCAGCCAGGTAGCCAGCCAGCATGTGAACCAAACACCCGGCCAGCCGGCCAGCGAGCCAGCTAGGCTGCAAAGTATGCAGTCAACCAGCCTGCCACCCAACCAACCAACTGGCCAGCCAGACATCTAGCCAGTTAGGCATCCTACCAATCATCCAGACTAACAACCAACAAGCCGACCAGATAGGCACCCTACCAACTATTTAGCCTGTCACCCTATTAATCATCCAGTTAGGATCCTTATCGACACTGAGCTAGGCACCCTGTCAGTCATGCAGCTAGGCACCCTATCAGTCATGCAGCTAGGCACCCTACCAACCATCCAGTTAGGTACCCCTACAACCATCCAGCTCGTCACCCTACTAACTATCATGCTAGGCACCCTAATAAGGATCCAACTGGGCACCCTGACAAGCATCCAACTGGGCATCCTGGAATCTAGTTTAATTAGTCAAATTCCCAACAGAAAAATCAGCCATCATTTTATACCATTAATAGTATATAAATATTATTATCCCCTGACTATTTCCGTTATTATTGACAACATTAAATTTTTTAATCTGATGATGCTTGATATAGCAGAATTTCTCTATATCTTTCCCTCTCTCTTTTTCATTCTATCGTAATGTCACTCTTTCTCTCTTTCTTTCTTTCTTTCTTTCTTTCTTTCTTTCTTTCTTTCTTTCTTTTCTTTCTTTCTTTCTTTCTTTCTTTCTTTCTTTCTTTCTTTCTTTCTTTCTTTCTTCTCTCTCTCTCTCTCTCTCTCTCTCTCTCTCTCTCTCTCTCTCTCTCTCTCCTCTCTCTCTCTCTCTCTCTCTCTCTCTCTCTCTCTCTCTCTCTCTCTCCTAAGGATTTATTTGCCTTCTCTTTTGTGTGTCTAACTATTGATTTTAAGATATTTTAGGGCCTCACATTAACTGTTTCGTCGTCTGAATGCTGGGTTTTGATTGGATATTAATGGTGTGGGGTATTATTGGTGTGGGCATGAATGGTGTGGGGTATATATGGTTTGGGTATAAATGGTGTGGGTATGAATGGAGGTGTTAATGGTGTTGGTGCAAATGTTGTGGGTATGAATGTAAAGGAGTTAATGGTTGAAGAATGAACTGTAATGTGTTAATAGTATTTTCATGAATGACGCCAGAATGAATGACACTGATAGACGATAGGAGCTTTAAAAAGTGTTTTGGAACTTGCTTCAAATTTTTGTATTAAGATCGTGTTTGAAGGCATAGTAAATTAAGATTCTAGCAAGCGTTGTGCGGTTGCGGTGTGTGTGTGATGTGGGCGTGTTGCGGGACGATATGTGGGCGTGGTGGGAGCGTGGGTTTGACATAGTGTGGGCGTGGTGTGGAAGCGATTCGGGCGGCTGATTGGTGTTGTGTGGGCGGGTTTTTTATTTGGGCGTTGCTTTGTGTGGGCGTTGAAAGGAAAGAGGCCGGTGTGGGCGTGGGGAGTATGCCAAGCATAGAGTACGGCCGGTGGCGCAGTATACTAACACGAGGGGTATACCTCAAAGGTGAGAGAGGGGGAGAAGGAAGGGAGGAGGGGGTTCGAGATTGGGGATAGAAGGGAAGGGGTAGGTAGGAGGGAGGGATGAAGGAGAGGGGGAGGAGGAGCGAGAGGGAGAGGGAGGGGCAACTATACCCCCTCCCCCCACTTCGCTTCTCCCCTTCCCCCAGCTCCTCCCAACCCCACCACCACCGAAATGACGAGCCGAGAAGGCAGCGAGTTGGTGTGTTGGTAGTGGTGGTGGTGGTGTAGCAGGTGGTGGTGATGGTGGTGGTGTTAGTGGTGGCAGTGGAGTCTCGCTACCATATACTCTCCCCTTCTCCCTTCCTTATTCTCCCTCATACTTGGATTACACTTACTCCTGATCCGCCATGACAGCTGTCACCCTTGCAATATACGAGGTAGGTATGGGTGTGGCACCATTCCATGCAGGATGAGAGGTTGCAAGTTTGACGGTGTTTGGTGTAGACTGTAATGCTGAAGTGTTTACCTCTGTACGGGTCTACCTCTGTCGAATGTTTCACTATAGAATGCACTGCTATGACAGGTACTTTGTAGGAAGTATCGCTATCGAATGTAAAGTTGCAGGCTGTTTAGCTGTACACTTCTCAGAATGTAGAATACAATCTATTCTAGAATCGAATAAAATGTGGTGTAAAGGGTACTGGATGTAGGGATGTAGGGTGTAGAGGGTATAGGGTGCGTGGGCGTGAGGTTACGTTAAAGTGTGGTGTCTCAGAATGCAGAGGGTTAATGGATAGAATGTGAGGTTATAAAATTGTGAAGATGTGCGTGCGATGATGTAGAGCGATGAGGTTAAAAAGTTGTTATTGTGCCTTGTAAGAGTGAAATAGTGTGAGAGAGCAAGGGTGGGTGTGTGAAAGTGCAAATATATGAGGGCATTGCGGTGTGACGGCCAAAGAGTGTAATATAAAATGGTTGCGAGGGTGTAAGAATACAGGGGCTTAAGAATATAAGGTTGTAGGAATGTGAGGGGTGTAGGAATATGAAAGTGCAAAAATGTGAGGGTGAAAGAATGTGAGGGTATAAGAATGTGAGGGGATATACGAATATGAGTAAATAACACTGTGATAGTGTGTTTGAGAATGTAAGAATGCTAGGGTGTGTGTGAGTGTGTGTGAGGGTGTGAGAATGGTAAGGTTGTAGTTATGAGACGGAATAAATCTTTAAAGTTGTATATACTTGAGGAGTATAAGTGTATGCACCGAGGTAAGTGAAGCTTGTAAGCTTCACAGTCAATATAAAACCCAAACACACTCCGTCAACAAAGCTATTTACCATTTTTTCAAGAACCTTTAAATTAGTTAAGTCTAAACCTAATTCAAGTGGAATTTAATGGTAATGTAAAATATTTGCTAGTGTTACAGCAATGTAACATATTTTCAAGTGCAACATCAATGTAACATATTTTCAAGTGCATCAAACACGTAATTTATTTTCAAGGGCATCACCATTATAACATATTTTCAAGTGCATCAGCAATGTGTAGGATATTCTTTCGTCTAGATAAATATAACATTTTCTATTTTTAGCAGAAACTTCTCTTATGGACTATGGCGCGAACATGCCTCTGAAGACTCCAAGTTTTAGATAACCTTTAATTATCACATCAAGTCACCCACTCTGAAAGACTAAATAGGGTTACACTTTTTACAGTATTTTTATGGGTTATTACATATCGTCTGAAATTTTATGGCAGAAGAACTAAGTCTTTTACAAGATGCTTCTAAGACACGTGTACGACACAAGTGTCTCGTTAAACGTGGCTCTAGGAAAGCCCCAGAAGTCTGAAAGACTTGTTATTTTTGTTCTTGTTCTTGTTGTCTTTGTTGATGTTTGCTGTAACTGGTGTTAGTAATGTTGGTCCTAAAGCTGTTGATGTTACTGTTGATGCAGTTGTTGAGCCTGTAGTTGTTAGGGTTGATGATATTGTTGCAGATACGTGTCTTCCTGTAGCTAATATTTATGATATCGTTGCGGATGCATTTCGTGATGTTACTAGTATTGATGATATCGTTGTAGATGCATGTCGTGATGTTGCTAATATTGATAACATTGTTGTAGATGCATGTCTTGATGTTGCTAATATTGATGATATAGTTGTAGATGCATGTCTTGATGTTGCTAGTATTGATGATATCGTTGTAGATGCATGTCTTGATGTTGCTAATATTGATGATATAGTTGTAGATCTATGACTTGATGTTGCTAATATTAATGTTGTTGCTGCTGTATTGCTGCTGCTGTTCTTACTGCCTCTCTTCTTGCTGCGGTTACTCTTGCAGCAGCAGCATCAACAGCGACAAATTATTCCAAATGGGTTACCTTTTTTGCCACTTTATACTGTTTTTCCCGTTGGTGGTACTGTTGTTATTCCCTGCGCTTCTGTTGCGATTGATGTTGCTGCTGTTGCTATTGGGATTGATACCGCTGTTGTTGATGTCGTTGTTGTTGTTGTTTATGATCATGCACCAGCTGTTGTTACTGTTGATTCTGTTGTTCTTGATAATACTCTCACTGTTGTTGTTATGATACTATTGATGCTTCTGGTGCTGTTGAAGTTGATGCTGTCACGGGTGTTGTTACTGATGCTATTTATGCTGATGTTTTCTGTAGTTGATGATGCTCTCACTGCTGTTGTTGATGATTATGGTGCCACTGCTGTTATAATTGATGCAACTGATGGTAATAAAATTGTTGAAGATGATGCTGTCATTATTGATGGTACTGAATTTATTGTAAGATAAAAACCCACACTTACGTATCTGTGTACTTCAATTAAAGATTTACACCAAGTCTGTCACACTCTCTTGAGTGCTCTGTCAAGGTCTGAGTGTGTGGTGAGGACGACCCTTACACCTAAACGGCTAATAACGTTGTATTAACTGCTGGTGTTCTTCTCGGGATTATCTCGACTACCACCATCACAACTCAATTCATCGTTTCTTTTACTACTTTCTCTCTGGCCCCCTATTGTCACACTATTCACGTGCCACATTATCACGTGCGAAAAATAATTTCGTCACCTTGTCACGAATATTACATTCGCCACCAGTAACTTCGTCAATGATAGTCTTTGATTGGTATTATAACTTTTATTACAAATTACTACTAAGAATATTGTCAATATCATCTCAAATTACAACCACAGTAATGACGCTAAATTTACCACCACCATATGCATGGCCATCACTATCATCACTGAGGTTTTCTGTGCCATCACTATCATCACCCGCGATTAATATCACCGTCTGTACCAACACCACTATCACCGCGTCTTCCGCTATCCATCCAACTCAGCGACCGCCACACTATTGTCACCACTATCACCACCTTTACCCCTGTCACTAGTACTCCCACCATCATAACCAACACCACCAATTCCATCACCAAAGCCGCGGAAACCTCCACTGTTGTCACTACCAACACCACAAGTTTTACTACCAGTTCTAATATCACCACTGAAACCACCACCCAGACCATCACTACCAGTTCCAGCATCAAACAATCACCACCACTACAACCACCATTACCACCGACTCATCTACCACTTCCACTACCCCAAACATCTCCAACACCTTATCCTCCGCCCTCACCACCACCTTTACCATCGTTAACCATCATCAACAACTCTCATCAATAGCTTTACTATCACCAACAACTTTATCCACCAAATGATCACTCCAATAACGAAAACTAATGTTCACATAAGTAAGGGATGTTGGTGGCGTTATCAAAGTAACATGTTTTATGAAAAAGTTCCTTTATACCATAAAAATAATGCTGTGCAATAGCCCTCAGGAGACTAAATGAAAACTGGAATGCCATGTCCGCAGAGTTATCCACTAATATTGCCCAAATTGTATGAACTATGATAAATATTGTTCTAGGAAAACTTAGTACTTCTCCCGACAGCGCTAATATGGCAACAATTATCCATCTATATTGCTTGTATTATCAGTAACTAAGCTCTTCTACTATTTCTTGCATGCGTTACACATTACCCAAGTCCTAATCTTCATACAACCCAGTGACGGAACTTGTCACGTGAGTGCCACAGTGAGGGAGGGAGGTGCTCTTGAGCAAGGCGTCGCCCTGGCTCTGTGCAGTCGCTGAGGTCAATATTGTGGGTTGCAGGGTGTGGTGCACGGTGGTATTTGGAGCAATTGTTTGGTGTGCAAAATTGTTTTGCGATGAGTGTTTGGGATGTTTTATGTGTGTTACAGTGTGTATGGAAGTCTTGCACTGTATTGTATTGTGTTGCGTTCATCGTAATGTGTTACGATTGAGTGTTATATGTTGTGGTGTTGTTTCGTGATGTGTTGAATCGTAATGTTACGATGTGTTTTAATGTTTTCTGGTGTACCTGGCAAGCTGAAGTGTGTTGTTTGGTTTGCACTGTACAGTGTTATTTTGTTTTGTTGTGTATTTTGTTTATTAAATTAATTATTTCATGCTTTAGTTGTTCCTTTGTTTTGTGCTGTGATGAGGCTATTTACCATGACCTGTGTTGTGGTCCATTGTGGTGTTTCTGGCCCTGAAGTGGGGTGTGGCCTGTTGTGGTGTTTCTGGCCCTGAAGTGGGGTGTGGCCTGTTGTGGTGTTTCTGGCCCTGAAGTGGGGTGTGGCCTGTTGTGGTGTTTCTGGCCCTGAAGTGTGTTGATGTCTGCAGGTAAGTATTTAACAATTTATGATGTATCGTGGCGCTTTCTGGTAGGGATTCTGCTATATTGTGTAGCCACATTATGTCGCTGTGTGTAGTCTGGTTACAATGTTGTTGGTAGGGCTATTTCTATTTGTATTCTGGAATTGCGTGCTCTGTATATAATGTAATTATCAGGAGAAAGCACCGAGCCATTATGACTGTGTGTCAGTGCGTGTTGTTTGTGTGTGTTGTAGAGGGTTGTAGTGTTTAGTGAATGGTGATTTGGTAATTTGGTATTTGGAATGTATAAGGGAAGAGTGTGTGTTAGTGCTGTTAGTGTGGTGTGTTACTTACGGCAAGTTGTTTGGCCTTTTAGTAGCACTTGTTGTATATGGCAATGCGTAGTGTGGTGTGGTAAGACGTGGTGTGATGTGGTGTAGCGTGGTGTAGTGAGGTGTGGCGTGGTGTGTGAAATTATATCGCGTGATCGTGTGATGTGGTCTGGTGTGATGTGGTCTGGAGTGATGTAGTATAGAGTGATGTGGTATGGTGTTGTACGGTGTGGTGTGTTGAGGTGTGGTGTGGCGTGGTGTAGCGTGGTGTGGGAAATGATATCGCATGGTGAGGAGTGGTGTGGTCTGTTGTGGTGTGGTGTATTGTCGTGTAGTGTGGGGTGTCAAATGGTATGGCTTGGTGAGGTGTGGTGTGGTGCAGCGGGATGTAATATGGTGTTTGC